AAAAATACATTAACTTGATCAGTTTCCTCTGATTGAGATGGGTAGTGATTCCTTCACATAGCGACATCCCTTGTTCCTAATCTCGCTCATCTGTCTTTCTTGTTTTGTCTGGACGGAGCTTTTCGTTAATGTTGTTTAAAAATCGACGAAAGAGAGATGCCTAAGATATACAGACAGACAGACACGATTCATAACAAACAAAAAACACCAATTCCTAGCTGTTTTTCGGGTCACGCTAGCAATGAGTAATCGAAGCACCACCCCTTACCCCTCCCACTCTTCGCTTACTCGTAGAGAAATTACATTGTCGGCGTCACGTGAGAAACGCCTGCTTTCCACATGATCACCACGTTCAAAAGAGAAGAACAAAGAGGAATTTTTTGTAGGCGCGCGAGAACGCCAGGCTGCATGATCGCTAGGATGACTGATAAAATTTAACCGCTCCTTACGATCTGACAACGGGGACACCAGAGAAACTGGCTTGGATGACTCCAACTCGTCCAGTCTTTAAAAAAGGTGCAAAATTAAGCTAGGGCCGAAGAGAGAGGACCACGTCCGAGTTCAGAAAGATATAGTAGAATTTTTTCACCTTGTTGGGAGCAGAAGTTGACAAAAAGTGCGATGCACGTGCAGAGTTGTTGTTTTGCTCATTAATCCTATTCAATAGGTTTTAATGAGAAAAACAATGACTCTGCACGTGCCTCACGCTTTCTTGCAACCTTATTGGGATCGTGCAGAGATCGTCAAAAAAGCGGCTTTTCTGACGGTCTCGTTACCATTTGCCTCGTAGTTTCGCAACGTGCCTAATACAGGTCCTCAACGACCGTAACTATCGCACAGTTTTTGTCGAAGATAGTAGAAACCATGTGAAAAGCAGGCTCCAGAACAAGCATCTTATGACTGCACAGCGTATAGTTTCACACGACACTCAAAATACTCCGCACCTTATCATCACTCTCGGCAATCCGGCGAAGACAAGACATGGATTTCTTGTTAAAAAGCTCATTCAAGGTTTGCTCATCGATTTTCGGTTGCCTCCCTTCTTCATCAGCATCCAAAATATGATAGAAGAAATCATAGTTCATTGGGTCATCAGGGACACTACTCCATGCTCGTTCAATGCGATCACTGTTGTCCCCTAGCTCTTTACTTTTCTCTGGTAAGTAAGGCCAGTGTGGGTTGACAAGTCGATCCAACACTGCTACCACTGTTTTCTAGTGGACAAAAACACATTTAAGAATAACTGAGTTATTTATCGCGCGCTTGTCGGGGAAGAGCTTAGTCTACAAGAGTCCTCATGCTATATATGTTCGACTGGTTCTTTGCGAAGTATTTTTTTCAAAACGATGCATGGCAGCAGAGAAGCGAATAATTTTTCGTAAATGCCTATCATACGTCTTAAGCCGTGAACGGTTCAAAGAAAACTATTTGCTTTCGAATTTTGTAGGATAGTAATTTTCTGTTGTTTGTGAAGGAAATACTGCCATAAGACTTTTAAATGTACTATCTCGATAAAATAACAGGTTATTCTTTATTATTTTTCATCAACAATAACTCCAGGAATTTTCACTAAAAATATTGTTTAAAAGTACCTGAACTTTACCCGTTTTCTGTATGGCCACCATCTTGGCCACAAATGCATTTTGTGGTAACGCACATTATTAAAAATTAATGAAGAGTGTGATAAACTTAAAAGTACATGTAGTGCAATAATCAAAGTCCTACATGAAATTTAGGCACCCAGTTATATAATATAGAAAAGTTGTCCTGGGAAAGAGAAAAGTCAACTTGAGCAAGCGTTTATATTCAAGAAAATGGTTCACCAAGTTTAGTAGGGAAATGTAGGAAACGTTGGCTCGCCCAGGTAACTTGAGTGGGCAATTAGCCCTCCTTGAGTCACCCAGGGCCCGGAGGGGGGGGTACCTCCTTACATAAGCTATATAGGTATGTGCCCCCCCCCCCCCATCGGGTAGGGTCTTTTTACGCCATTTTGGTCTGAAAACGGGTATGGTTTTTGAGGGAACTGGGGGAGCTTGTGTGAATGTATTTATCATGTCAATTCCAGATGTAAGAAAGAAAGAAAAATATGCAAATTCGAAATGGATTTGAAGAATTCTTTTGAGTGGAAAATTACATTTTTTGGTCTGAAATAGGGTTGGCATTTGGAGTCCCAGGCGGCACACTCCCACCAAGAATTCCTAGGAGTACCCCACCCCCCCCCCCCCCCCCCCGGGGCCAAGGCAAGTTTTCTTCATCTAAACAGGGCTTAGTTCCTAGTTGATTGAATAGATAGATATTCATCTATACATGTATACTGAATACATGTATATAATACCGCCATATATCTCACCTTCATGTCATATTTATTTGTTACAGAATTTTTATGACTGATGAAGTGTCCAAAACTAAACTTTGATTTCTTCAACTCATCATTGTACAAGAACAGCTCATGAACCCTGGTAAGAAAAAAAATAAAATAATTAACATCAAGGAGGCATTGTGGCTGAGCAGTCAGCATGCTGGACTTGTAATCCAGATGTCCCGGGTTCAAGTCTCACACACACTGACTGCTAGCTGGATTTGTTCCTGGTATTCCAGTGTTCAAATCCTCGACCACGCTTATTATATATAGCTAACTGGTCCACCTTCTACTAAATAGGACTCTTAACCTTGTTATGATCCACTTGATGCATTTGTTATCCCTGAAAAGTCCAACAAGGTGGAGGATGATTAAGTAACTTATTTATTTATTTATTCAATTTACCACTCATCTTCTCCCCAGAATACCATTGACCATCCAATGAGTGTGATGACCAACCAAAATGCCCAGAACACTTGTGAAACAAGAACACTCTTAAAAAAGCATTAAGTCTTGCTTGTTTGGAGATTAGAAAAGAAATGAGGAGGCGATTAATTCTACACGAAACCGGATTTTCTTGCTAAAAGTTTTTCACTTCCTACTTTATCAATGGTCGAGTATTCTTCAGGATACTTACTTTTTATATCATAATGATGATTGAGTACACTTGTATAAACACACAAAAATCAATTTGAGACGAATTACATCATTGCCAGAGACCAAAAATGTGATGAACATGGCACATCATTTCAATCATGACTGAAAATAAACTGCATGCTCATCACAAGAGACTCATTTGCATACAATTAAAGCGTACAACATCCGACCAGTTTATAGCCCCACCATTGAAGTTTTCACTAAAGTATTCACTTGTTCCAAAGTAATCAACGCTTTCAAGCGATAGAATTCGTGGACCGACCTGTTCTGGAAAAGCTCAACATCTTTCAAATCCATCTTTACTAAGCTAATTCTTCACAAAATAAAGTATGGTGCTGTGACACGTCACTATTCTATCTCCAGTTTCCACGGTCTCTGCTAGGAATGGCTGCGACCACAACCCTCCTTTCGGTGCACACACCAGAAAAAAGAAACGCTTGCATTCTTAGAGTCTTGCTGCTAAAGCAAGTGAGACTAATAAGCAAAAATTATTTGCAGAATATTAAACACATTCTGAAAATGGCAATCATGATTGTCCATTTAGAAACCTTACATTTCTATCACAAAGTAAGCTTGAAACTAATAATTTATGATAACTTTTTATTTATTTAAAATTTATAACACGCCTTTTCCATGCAAATATGATAAAAGTGCATATGAAAAACTCTGATCATAATAGCAGTTTTCACCCACCAGTCATGTTTCATCTGTGATATAAGATATGCTGCTGTTTCATCTTGGTATGACAAGAGAGCCTTTTCCACGGGCAAATAAGCCCTCTCTCCAGAAACTTCCTCAGTTTCCAAATATAAAAGTGAGGGATACGTTTCAGTGAGTAATTTTGCCACATGCAGGAAATTCCGCTCTGCTGCAAGATGGAGTAGAGTTGGACGAGCAGGGTCTTCTTCAACTCGGAAATACTTGTACTCTTCATTGTTGTCCTGTTCTAAAATGATTTCTGTGAATCGACTTATCTGCAAAACAAATTAACAGAGTACTATAATGGCAGTGTCAGTCAACGCTAAAACGAAACAAGAAGTTTTGCATCTAAATGACACTACTTAAAAGTTTTCAAATGGGGGCAGCGGAAATTAAAGAAAAGTACAACTAACAGTGGCTATGCCCCACACTATCAGATGGGACACTACTAAACCATGTAGGCCGTATCCGTGGGAGTGCGGGGGTGGAGGGGTAGCACTGCTTTTAGACTACTAGTCTACCAAAGGATAAACTGGTCTATGTACATTATGGGTAGTCATATTGAAAACTCCCTGAATAGCTGGAATTGAAGCTCACCCATCACATGGTGAACTTATTGACGTACTACGGAGTGACCTTGAGGGGAGCAATGTTTTAATGTTGTCTATAAAGGGCATACCGTGTATGCCTCTGGACATGGTAATTATTAAAGGTGTTTGGCCTGTCCGTTCTGAACAGACTTAATGATTTTGAGTCAGTGCACTTGATCGTCTTAACATAATCTTACATATCATTATACCTAAGGAATTTAACAAAGGGATAAAGAATGGT